ATTTAAATTCATAACCCGTATAAATATCAACAAAACATCACAGAAATTGAAAAAATATTAACCTTTTTCCTTGATGGTAACATCAAATACTGAAGGCACATTAGAAAATTGAACAACTTTTCATTACAAATAATAATAATTAATTCAAGCTTAATTTTCAGTAGTCCATGTATAATTTTAAGTATCATTAATGCAATATTTTAATTCAACGAACTTGCATACGTATAAATGTATTAATTGAATACTTGCAAACTTTAGGTACAAAAGTAGTAGTCTTTTTTTATTATTTGTACAAACTACATGCGAACTTGTACTTATTGTTTACTTGTTGTAATTTATAAAATCACGCTTTGTAACTGTATACTGTCAGCAAGTGTTTGGAATGTTTTATTTGAAGTGTACTTGTAAGATTTCTTTAAAGGTATAGTTTACCCAAACTTAAATATAGCCGACCCCATAACTGACACATCCTCAATCCATCCTAGGTGTATTCCTTCTTTCAGGTGGACACAGTCACAGTAGGCCAAAAGCACATAAATCTGACATAACCTATATGCCGCCTGAGGGTTTTTTTTATATATATTTTTTAATTTTTTTATTGAAAATACAAAATCCAAATACAACAAAAAGGGATTCAACTTTACAACTTGTGTGTCACATATGGAAGGCTCAACACAATAATATACAAAGATACAAATATAATATACAAAAAATATTCAAGCTAAAATAAATCCAAGAGTGAAAGGAAAACACAAAATAAATAAATAAAAAATAAGTACAACATAGATATCATCTATGGCAAGTTATATACCCGCCTGAGGGTTAACGCATGTCTTGCCGACAGCTATAGCTCTCTGCTACTTTCACGTGGTTGCCCACTGAGGCTAAGTAGTATGGTCAGTACCTGGATGCAGACCACATGGGAAAGCTAGGTTGCTGCCGGAAGTGGTGTTAGTGAGGGGGTGCTCAATCTGCGGTCTGTGTGGGTCCTAACGCCCCAATATATTGAGGGGAATTCTATAATATTTAATGACCTGGTCCTGACTCTCTGTGGTCATTAAAAATCCTAAGAGTTCCTTTGTAAAAGAGTAGGGGTTTACCCCGGCATCATGGCCTCCTAACCATCCCATATCTTACTTGGCTTCATCACTCTGTCTCCGCTGGTGTGTGGTGTGCGGACTGGCGCAATATGGCTGCCGTCGCATCTTCCAGGTGAATGGTGTGTAAGGTCCACCCAGTTGGCCCAATGAAGGTGTCCACTGGTGAATGAAGCTTCACTGCATGTTCGGCCTTTCCAGCGCATGATGTTGTTCAGTTGACCTTTAACTCATATCTGACTCCAATAGTCATATGAAGTGGTTTAGAATACTAATGTGTTTATCTTTCATTTTATCTGACTCTAATCATAAAACATTAAGAAGATTATATCAATATATAATTTAGATGAACAATTGAACCTTTTGTTTTTACTTGTAAATTTGCTGATTCCGATGCTCGTGTCACTCAGAAGAATCACCTCGGCCGATGACATTTCTCACGGTCACACTCTCGTCAGTCTTGATCACTAAACAGAGGTGACTTTTATATGGCCACTCTTATGCTTCCTCATCCTCAAGTATTTTTGATTAGTCTCCTTAGATGTACACCCTTGAGTTTTACATTACAAGCCCTCCATTAAAGTTACTAATTTTGTTCTGCCTGCATGCTTTTTTTCTCTCTCAAAGTGCTTATAGACATCGACTTGCATTACATTACATTTAAAAAAAAAAATACATATTTTCCTGCATATACATTTTTGGGGGGTGCATTATCCATTTAATACGCTATCAGTCACGTAAACACAAGCAAGGCACTTTTAGTTAAGCTATCTCCATCAAAACATTGAGTTCTAGTAGGCTGCAGGCTAAATACAGACTAAGCCAATTATCCTCAAGTGTAATTTTAAGTAGTTCTAAGAAGTACCTGAAAAGTGGACCTAAAGTATACTTAAGTTGTCTTCATGAATATCTAGGTAATTATATCCTCCTGAAAGCCAAGTCTGTGAAGGATGCTTAGCTACTCGAGTTGAAAACGTTAACTTTTTTTATGGTTGACTGGTCCAGATTTGGATTTCTCAGAAAACAGGATTTTTGTGTTCCTCTCTCTGGACTTGCAGTAAATTAAAACTGTGTATTTAGAGTTTAACACTTTCCAAACAAACAAACAGTCCGCCATGTTACATAAATCCCATGAAACTGCTTGAAGATCGGTCATCTGCGCGCACACGTTCAGCGGATGAATTGAAGGGAATGTAATGGGTTTATACTCCTGGACTAGGTATAGGCCTCTGATATTGTTATGAAGACATGCTGTAATGGATCCGGGATCGAGACTGAAGTGAACACGGGAGGCTGTGAGTGTTGGCAGGAGGACAGAAACAGAGCCAACACTCACTCATCCACATAAACACTGCTGAGCTTATTCACACACAGCACAGATCTGGCACTGTGTGGCGCACAGACTAGACCAGACAGCAGGCACGCACGCACGCACGCACGCGCACACACACACACACACACACACCCTCCTGAATATTTCGCCCCAATTTCTGTTTAAAGGAAAGAAGTTGCTTAAGAGAGCAAATAATATTGACCTTAAAAATGGCTTTAAAATGTTTAAACTGCTTTTATTCTTGCTGAAATAAAACAAAAAGGACCTTCACCTGAAGAAAAAAATATTATAGAAAATACAGTGAAGAATTCATTGCTCTGTTAAACATCATTTGGGAAATATTTGAGAACAATAATAAGAAAAAAAGTCACAGGAGGACTAATAATTTTAACTTCAACTCTATATGTGGTTTATGAGGGCATCTTCATAGGTGCAATGTATTTTAAACTGTAAAAGATTATTATATGGGCTTACCCTTGCCCTAAACCCAACCCTCACAGGAAATCTGTGGCACATTTCAAATGTAAAAGACCTCATTAAGTATGATTTTAAAGCGAAATACACTAACGAAATGCTGGGTTGCACACAATGCCTTCATGTTTTCCCAACACAAATCGTTTAAGTTAACTTAATTTTTTTTTACAAATTTAACTCATATGAACATAAAACAATTAAGTTGTCCACCTACAAAAAAAAGTCAAGAGTTGTGTTGACGCAACTTATTTTAAAAGACCACCTTTGATAAAAATCAATGCTTGCAAGCTGTTTGGACAGAACTATGTGTAAGTATAATGCGTCCACTGTCATACTGGAGTGATAGAAACACAAGTTTCTCTTTTTATTTTTATTTTATTTTTTACTAATTTCCTGACTTTTGAAATAGGACCCGAATGCCAGTGATTTTGAGGTCCGCCGCAACGTGATGTAGCAGTGCGATTTTCCCTGCCCACCAATAGATTGACAGGCACAATGTTTCAATAATGACATGTGGACGTATTTTTGCAAATACACTGGTATTAAAATATTTGTTACAACTCTCTGTGATTTTTTTAAAAGTTTAAAACAGCCTGTTTGTAAAAAAGACAGTAAAATCACTATACCGCAATAATCACCCAGGCCGCATAGTGTCAGGAAAAACTAATGTGTGTACTGCAAACATCATTTGTGTGTGACTTAAATAGGCTTGAATAGACCACCACAAATACATAAAATAAATTTGGTCTTTTTGACTAATGAGCTGTATTTCAGCTTCATCCATGTTTCTCTACATCACTGACTGCTGTTTATCTAATGTAACCATAGACTGTAAAAGATATGGACGTAGTAATCGTGATGTCACCCATAGGTTTCTGAAGAATGCAAAACAAGGTGTGGCCAACTGTCGCCATTTTGTTCGAGCGTCATCGCAACAACCGGGGGATACCAAACAAGGGCAAAGAGGAGGAGTGTGAGCGGAGCTAATGGCACCTTCTAGCATTTTGCTTAGACAAGCTTTTCTTTAAGAGAAACACTTAATACCTTATACTTGTATATGCCGAGCTTAGCAGCTAATCAGCCGCAATCAGCTGAGGTTAATTATGCGACTTAATATAACCGAATCGGATGAGTTATAAAAAAAAATAATAAATCACCCCCTCACAGTTGTCATGAAGGATAATATTAGCTATATGTAAAAAAATATATATTTTTTGTTTCAGGTTGTAAACTTTTTTTTTTTTTCCAGTTGTGAAGCGGAACATTTTAACGGTGGGCTCAATAGAAATTTGCTTTATTATAGAGACAGGACTAGCAGAATTTCGATCAATTGTAGTTTCAGTTACTTAATTGCTTCTTGAGGGAGAGCAGGAGGTTGCCGCTTGGACGTAATGCTGGAAAAACAGACACACACATGGGACCAGTGGGCGGAGAGAAGCAACTCATTTGCATTTGAAGCCACACCCTACAAAAGCAGCTACACTGTACTTAAGCATCAAAATGGGCAGATTTCGGAGGCTATAATAAATGATCTGATGGGTATTTTGAGCTGAAACTTTACAGAGAGATTCTGGAGACACCAAAGTGGTATCTTACATCCTGTAAAAGGGGTAAAATAGGTCCCCTTTAAATAAGTAGTTTGAACGAGCAGCAAAAATCTTTTGTTGAGTGTATGAGGACACTTTAAAATTGTCCCATGTCATAACTGAATTGAATTAAACAAGTAAACGCAGATGTAAGCCTCAAAATCTACTCATATAAACTATTTTAAGTGTTTGAGCCTGCTTTCATTTTTAATGTAATTTGCTTAATAACACAAAAAAATAAAAATAAATAAATCACCACAAAAAAATAAATAAACTAATAAAGATTAATCCGTTTACAGGGACTAAGATGAAGGAAACTTAACACAATTGTTATAATACTTGCCATTTTAACCTAACATCTTCAAAAAATCAAAAAATTAAATAAAAAAAATTAAAACAACTGCTACTAATATATTTAATAAATTTTATTACATTAAATTATTATTATTTGTTCTATTTACATATGACAAGGCAAAGAATGTCACCCAAGAAAAAAAAAAAAACATCACATCATTTATTTGTTAAGATTTTAATTTAGATAAATATACAGTACATACCATTTACTCCAGTTTGTTTTGGGCCCAAATAAAATTTTTTATAAACATGCTAGAAAGAAAGAAAGAAAGAAGGAAAGAAAGAAAAGTAAACAGGAAGTGTGCACAGCAAACAGACTGCCTTTTTGTTCCTCAAATGAACATACAATTAATACTCTTATTATTGTTACAGCACAAAGAACAGCATTAGATTAACATTGAATGGCTACAGGAACACCGTTAACACTGCTTTAGGCTTTGCAGAGACCATAAACATGCTTGAGGGGAAAGAAACTGACCTGTTGTTAAATCTTAACCCAGCGATTAAACAGCAAAAGCATTACTTGCTGTACACTTTACAACCAAAATGTCACATATTTAGCAGACTGTACTGAGCGGAAAGCGGTGCATGCAGCAAGCTCCAGCTGTTGACAATGCTATGATGTTTGTTCGCAACATAAACGCTGCGACATCCACACTTGGACCCACCTGAGACTTTGGTTATTAAAGTTTGTAACTACCTTTTATTATCTAGTAGGGAGTTAACATTGGTTAAAATAATGACTAAAACAATAATAATGGGAATGTACTAAATTCATAAGTGAGCTGTGCAATGCGAAATAAGTCATATTTGTACTTTATAAGAACAATCACATCACTGCGAGAGAGAGAGAATGTTATTTGAACTTTTATCGGCTCAACGTTCCCTTTTTGCAGACATTTAGTCAGTGTAAACTTGTTCAGTTGATTGGTGGATTGGACAGATTAGTGTCCATATGGTCGAAGTAAAATAAGAAAAAAAATGTACTAATATCTATAAATAATCTGCACGGAGAATAAAGTTAGGTGAAATGGTAACAGAGCAGCACCTGTATTAACATTCTTTAACTGAAAAATAACAAATAAAAACTCTTTCTGCCAGGAGATAACAATTGTGACTGTTTAAATCAGATATGCGCAAAATATAAACAAAATAGGAGTTAACATCTATAGAGTTAACATACCGCAATTATAAAAGTTAAGAGAAAGTGAAAATGTATTTTAATTGACACAAAAGTCAGATTTAGGATTTTAATCTTTTAATTTTGAGAAAAAAACAACACATTTTTGAGAATTGTAAGAAAAAAATATCTGACTTTTGAGATAGTCACAATTTTTTTTATTTCGTGGTAGAAATAGACTTATTAACTTTAAACGGACAAACAAACAGCTTAACTTTGTTTGTCATCTCCCTATAAACTTACTATAATAAGCAGCACCGAACAAAATAATGTAGTATATATAACTCTAAAATGATTATCATCAAGTTAAGCACATAAACTATACACCTTTGTGTTCATAACGGAATGTTACGCTTTTATAATCCATAGCGAATAAAGGAAATGCTCTCTCGCTCATCCTGAAAGTGGCGTTTTTCTGAAATAGCATACATAGTAGCACACAGAAACATAGAATTCCGCTCTATAGGAACATAAATAAGTGCACAGACATAAAAGTAAAGAGGACATTCAACTCAGGAGGCGTCACGTCACGGCGTTTAAGAAATCATCTTTCTGTACTTTCCTCAGCCGTGAAACTCAGATCATCAGGGATCAGCTGCTCACCTGAGAATGACACACACACACATACTTCAGCAGAACTCGCACAAAACATCATTTCAAGAGTTCCCACATAGAAATGCTTGGCGTTTATAGCAGGTTTGGCATGCTGTCCAGGGAGAGAACCCTGAGCTTGGAGATACTTGAGCCCAAGGCTCCCGCTCGGTTAATAAGCACATTAATAAGGGGATCCGAGATCAGGTAGGTCTCGAGAGCACCCCCTTAGAAAAGGGAGGAAAGGAGGAGATGGGGTGGAAGGGGGGATTCTTCCAAAACGAAGATAGAGCAGTAGAGAAAACGATCCATTTACAGTAAGCTTGGACCACTCTGACTGGATTATTGATTACAGATGAGCAGCCAATCATGCTCAATCATATCACATGCTCCTCTCAATATTAGTTTATGATACTTCACTTTAGTTGAAGACTGACTTTCTGCGCTTCATATTTTAAAATACAAATGTTTAAATTTATTTTTTTTAAAAAGTTAAATAATCACGATTAAAGACGGGCGACATGGTGGCTCAGTGGGTAGCACTGTGGCCTCACAGCAAGAAAGTTGCTGGTTTGAGTCTAGGTTGGGTGAGTTGGCATTTCTGTGTGGAGTTTGCATGCTCTCCTCGTGTTAGTGTGGGTTTCCTTCGGTTGCTCCAGTTTCCCCCACAGTCCAAAGATATGCGCTATAGGTAAATTAAATAAAACTAAATTGTCTGTACTGTATGTGTGTGAATGAGTGTGTATGGATGTTTCCCAGTAAAGGGTTGCAGTTGGAATGGCACCCACTGTGTAAAACGTGCTAGATAAGTTGGCGGTTCATTCCACTGTGGCGACCCCAGATTAATAAAGGGACTAAGCTGAAGGAAAAATGAATGAATGAATGATTAAAGGCATGCTTTTGCCACTAGAGGGTGCGTATTCACAACAAACAAAGTAAATTAGCGTTGGTTAACGTTTTTTTTTCCCATTTGGCCGACTGGATATGGCCCAAGTACGTGCGAGCAGGAAAAAAAAAAAGGTTCACATGGAATGCCTTGTGATCATGGAATGGCTGGGTTATCAGTGCGTTTCTCGTTTCTGCTTAGTCTTCATCCATTCATTATTCTTCCTTCACTTTGTTAGCATTTTTATTTTGTTTACTTCCCCAGCACCCTGTTTACTTTTGAAACCCACCACCCTACTTTTTCAGATTTCAGGAAGTGGACGCATCTTAACTTATGTTTTGTGGTGACCCTAAACCTAAATGTTTAATATCTCAAGAATCAAATGGAGTCAACTCTTGTTAGCAGTGATGCAAACCTGTGCAGGGCAGAGTTCTGGTGTCAAACGCACTGGTGTCTCCAGCCTCCAGAGGCACCACTTCATCCTCGTTCTCATTCTCTGTGTCGCAGTCCAGCTCACTGTCACTGCTCATGCTGGGCAACACATGATGAGGCTTCTGACTAAGCACACCTAAAGAGACAAAAAAAAAAAAATTATACTGCTGAAACTGGCTTTACTGCATTACTTACACTACCAGATCAGTACAATTTGTAATGTTTTTAAAATAAGCATATTCTGCTCTCCAAGGCTGCATTTCAAGAGTTCACACCTTAGCTGATGATTGATTATAAAGCTTGTTTGGCATGCTGTCCTGGGAGAGAGCCCTGAGCTCATAAGATCCTCGAGCCCAGGGCTCCCACCCGAAAAGGGAAGTTTGAGCTCAGGTAGATTGAGAACTACCCTTCTGTAGTAGCTAATGAACAGATAGTGATTGCTCTTAAGACATAACTACTTAATAGGAGCATGTCTATGGTGCCGATTTGGATTAGTCAATTAACTTAAGTTGTATGTTTTTGGAAGGTGGAAGGAAACCCACGTGAGCACGGGGAGAATGAGTGTATGGGTGTTTCCCAGTGTTGGGTTGCAGCTGGAAGGACATCCGCTCTGTAAAACATATGCTGAATAAGTTGGTGGTTTATTCTGCTGTGGTGACCCCTGATGAATAAAGGGACTAAGCTGAAGAAAAATGAATGAATATATGAATTAGGGCTGCACGATATTGGAAAAATCTGACATCGCGATATTTTGTTTTTCTGCAATAGATATTGCGATATACTTTGTTATACTTGGAAAGAATCTTTGGTCACACTTTATTTTAAGGTTCAGTTATCGCTCTTAGCAAACCATTTTGACTTTTGCTTCAATAAACTCGCTCCTTATTATAAAAATTGGCTCCTTATTAATAGTTATTAAGGTAGATTAGGTAGGATGTAGAATAAGATCATACAGAACGTGCTTTATAAGTACTAATAAGCAGCCGATATCTCAATAACATGCATGCTAATAAGCAACCAGTAAAAAGAGAGAATTGCTCTTCCAAGGGGTACCAAATGCATTAACTTTGATTGACTGGGATGATTCTGTAGCGGAGTAAATCATGCATAACATGTAATAAACAAACTACAAGTAAAGATAAAAGTGAAATAAGCAGTGCATGCATTATGGTTTTGTATATGTAAATGATAATTACACTGCAAAGCCAACTCAACATTGAATATCTTTGCGTTGAGACTATTGTGAATGCACACACTGTGATATCAATGCTATAACGTTATATTGTGCACCCCTAGTATGAATGATATTTAAAAAAAAATAAATAAATAATAATAATAATAATAAAATGTAAAAATATTTCACTATATTACAGTTTTAAAGAGGTGGTCCACTACGATATCATATTTTAAGCTTTAGTTGATGTGTAATGTTGCTGTGTGGACATGAACAGCATCTCTGAATGTGAGACACTCAAACTTCAATGCAAAGGGAGCGAACGAATTTGAGGACTACAAAAAAATACATCCGGGCTAAAAAGATCACAAGTGTTCCAGGTTATGCACATTCACTGCGCACACACCGCGCGAAGCAAAGCGGGGTGGCCACAGACTCGTTAGTAGAGAAAGGAAAATGCAGTCCAAACACTGCTATTTCCATGGATCTAGTTCTGTTTCACTATTTGGCCTTCCAAGGGACGCGACTCAAAGAGAGAAACGCTTACAGTTTAATTTTAATTATGTTCCAAAAGATTATAAAAAGATAAAGCTTTCTGTGCAAAGCATTTTACAAAAGGACAGCTTCCACAATTGGTCGCAGTTGAGTGCTGGATTCAGTCTACGATAAAAGAAGCTGTGGATTATGAGCCACAACCTGTAAGTACTTTTTGTTAAAATTGATATCTTACATGCACAGATTCCAGCGTTCACTGTAGGCTATGATGTAGTAAGGACGTAAACAAAAATTTAAACAACGAGAATTGCGTTGTCAAACATATGTATTCATTTTCTCCCCATGTAAACATCTACAATCGTCACCAGCGACTGCAATGTATCTTTATGCATCAGCAGTCTGTGAGTTTTACATTTGAAATAATGGAGTATATTATGTACAGACATCTCAAGTCTCCCTGAGGTGCCGCCACCAACCCCTCCCCTACCCGTTTCACTACTCAAGATGGCAGCAATGCATTGTTGAGCACGTGTTCTACTATTACGGTAATTTCGTCAACTGATTTTCTCAGAATAAAGAAAATACCACATCACATCATTTATTCCTTTTTCGGCAATGTACGTTTCATTATTTATTTATTTACAAAAGTGTGTTGTTTTCAGAACGGGTTTGTCCGTGCTTTCAGTATATTTTTATTTATTCATTCGGCATAAACATACTCTTTATAAATGCCTGAAGTGCGTTTTAATTTGTCCTAGCCTTACTACAATACAATGTCATTACGATTGCATTTTTATGACATGGTTAAACCTCAGAAAGTGAACGAAAAACCAAAGTAGACCGTTTTACCTGCTATCTATTAGAAACGGAGACTTTACAGCCATCTTATAAATGTATCATTTCCTATATACACTAGTATGGGATGCAGACAAGCCATCAGCATTTCATTTCAGTATTCCTCCTCTTATCAATGAACAAAAAACACAAAAATAAAAAACGTATCATTCAGAAATACTCTTTCAATAAATATAAAAATCTTACTGATCTAAAACCTTGGATGTGTAGTGAATGCTTTATTTCCTCTTGCAATCATGCAGCACATAAGGAAGTGTTACTCATCGTGAGCCTTCTGGAGAATGAATAATTGTAATATCCTGAGAACTCATCTCATTTGATGTGTAGTTAAATGACAGCGTGTTCGTTCGCAGTGCGTGCAGTGACTCATCCATGCGGTGTGATCGTGAGTCGTGTTGTTTATTTGGAGTTTTTGAGAACAGATCTTTATGTCTTACCTTCATCAGGGTGCGATGAGGAAGAGGAAGATGGTTCAGCCAGTGACAGAAGTGACTGATGGATCTCGCCGGCGCTCTCTAGGTCACAGGTCAGAGAGCTGTCCGTCAGCAGCCCAGGCCTGTGGGATGTAATAGAATTAACACTGGGAAAATACTGCTGTCTTGTTCTTTAATTTAAAAACATGAAAATTTTGAAGAATTTAAATACAAAAAATCCACTGCAAAAACAAAACAAAATAACAGCAAAACAAAACTAAATTAAAAGCACAATATCTCATTTTCACCACTAGAGGGCACATGTTCACAACAAACAAAGTCGAAATTTGATGATGTAACTGTATGTAGAATTGTGGGAGTAGTGGTCTTCATCACATCCTATGGGACTGCAGAAACCATGTTCATGGATGAGTTGAAGTATTCGATACTTATTAATGTAGTAGTATGAAGAAGAGTAAGACTGTAAGCCGTCAAAGTGAAATGAGAGTGCTGAAGCAATTGCTTTTATAAGTTGAGCGCAAAAAACATAAATGCAGCAGAGCTTATATAATGCCAGACACAGTCCACTGCTTAAAAATCTTCTTCTCCACGTGATTTGCATTGACTTCAAATCAGAAATTGAATGTGTGACATCATTAGCATGGCTAATAGTAGTTAATACACTAGTTAAAACAGCTCATTTCAGTTAGCCCCGATAACCCAGAGGGTAGTATATCGATTGCACACTTTGGTGTTCGATTCACGGCTTGAGGTCTTATGCAGATACTTTCCCTCCTTCTGCCCACATAATGTCCACTGTCTTATAACATTAAAGGTTAAAAACCCCTAAAAATGTATAAAAATATATATAAAAATTAGGGGCATCACACACAGCAATAGCGTCATATGCAGCAGATTGATTTTATAACACCAGGTTAAACTTCCTGGCCCATTTACAGCACTGACATACATAAAAAAAAAAAAATCAATGAAGAACAGACTTGAGTCTATTGGTGTGTGTGCGTCATTGTATGCAAGGTTTCTGTATTTATAACCACCTCAGAGGATATTGAGGGTCGCGAATCACTGGCATTATCATTTTGGGGGCCGCGGGCTGAAAAGTTTGGGAACCCTGTCTTATGAAATAATAAAGGCTTTTTAATCTAATTAGTACATATTAAGGCCCTATCTCAATTCTACCCCTTAAGCAGGTCGCACACCAAAGCGCCGCTCGGCGGCGCGCCGCGCAGCGCCACGCCGCGCCATGCATTTTAGAATTCTAAACATAGGTTTCTATCAGGATACACACACCGGCGCCGCAAGTCAGCGGCTGTCGGTGGCGCCCTACGACGGCTCAGGACGCAGTTCATTTTTCAACCGCGCCACAGAGCGCCATCTGATTAGTTTCATGTTAAATATCATTCGAATGTGCGCGTCTGGTGTGCGATACTTTAAACTGTCATGTACGCGCCGTGTCGCGGCGCCGAGCGGCGCTTCTGGTGTGCGACCTGCTTTAGTCCTTACCATTAAGTATTCTTATTCTATTCTTACCTATGTCTCAATTATGTTTAGTTTCAAGGCAAGGGCTAAGGGGAAGAGCTAGATACCCCTCGAAACTGAGCTTTTAAAGGACCACACTCTACATTGTAGATGTTGTATTTCCCAAAAGACACCATCTACAACGGCAACATGGCAGCACACGGATGAAAAAGATGCACAAATTATTATTTTTTATCATTTTTACAAATTTTTACAACAAACAAGTATATGTTTTAATATATTCATAACTGCATTTGTGTTTTACAGTTTTTCTTAAAAAAAGTAAAGATAAAAAAAACAAACAAAAAAAACGCTAAAATAGCTCAATTTTGCTATCTATAATCCATAATAATAACTCCTGTAGAGCAGTCCCACAACATTCTGACACTCGAATACCCTGGCAGAAAAGTCCAGAGACTGGGAATTTGAACTGGCAAGTTATCTATTTTCAAGACCTGAGGTGAACCATAAGCAGCTGCTCTGAGTAGTATGCCAATAAATGTCACGTAAAATGGTATTTAAGCTCACATTGGAAGCATTTAACACTGAATAAAGTACATAATCAGTACCTAAGGTGATCATGGTTTTAATAATATATACTGTTGTTCTCTGGTGGTGCTAACAGAAAGTTAGGACAAAAACTCATTTTAACATGGAAAAAGATACCTTTTATAGCATGTCGCAGTTTCACGTGTAGTTTGGACACAGTATAATGAAACAAGTGAAAATCAGTGCATCTGCAACTCTCATTCAAGCACAATTATTGGATTTACTAGTGAATAAAAACAAACACAGAGTTCGAATCCGCTCCACCACTGATGGCTTGTTTTTATACGTTACCCGATCGCTGTAGCTCTGTGCTGTTTGGTGGCGGGTGCAGACGCTCCATTGAGAGCAGCGATGCTGAACAGGTCTGAAGCTCCATACAGCAGATCCTCGTGTTTGGAGCCAGAGGCCTTATCAGAGGATGAGGAGCTGCTTCCCAGAGAGGGAGGAGAACTCTGAACACTGCGCGCTTTCAGAGAGCCTGCAAAACACAGATAACGTCATCTCAAATGCCTAGTTTCCCAGAAGTCTCTTTGCCTTTCACCAAATTAATCTGTTCAACAAAAGTTGAGTGTTTATTTGAACGACTAGTTGTTGAGTCTGGCATGGACTCATTTGGGATGAAATCTTTGATGTTTGATCAACACTAAATTCCAGCATCAATTACATGGTCGCCCACTGAAGCTAAGCAGGGTTGAGCCTGGTCAGTACCTGGATGGGAGACCACCTTGGAAAACTAGGTTTCTGCTCTGGCCTCTGTGGGTCCTAGTGCTGCAGTATACTGTACGTTGCTCAGTGTTTATTATGTCAGAAATTTAAACCGTGTTTTGTCCACATCAGCCTTGAAAAATTAAGCTGGATAGACTGACTTGACACTAGAGCTGCATGAAATTGGGAAAAAAGATATTGTCATGTTTTATTTTTCCAAAACAAATATTGTGAGCTGAATACAGTTTTACAAGATGGTTGTGAATGCTTTCACATTCAAATAAAATATGTTTTATGGTGAGAGCAGCTTGACAGTACTCGCATGTTGGTGGTGCATCATTATTCAGTAAATAAAAATGAGTCCACTCAAAAATGTTAATTCTGTAATTATTTACTTAGCCTTCGCTTGTCGCAAACCTGTTTAAGGTTCTTTCTTTAGCACAGACACACACAAATTATTTTGAATAATGTTGGAAACCTGCATCCATTCACTTCTACAGCATTTGTTTTTCCTAGTATGGAACTCAATGGCTACTACCTACAAATATCAAATATTTCTCTAAATATGTTTTATGCTCAACAAAAAAAAAAAGAAACTCAAAGGTTTTGAACCACTTGAAAATGAGTAATTGATACTTAACGTAAAGTTTTGTTGATGGGTTAACTATCAACAAACGTGAGCATGTTTTTCCAAACTTGATTAACTGGTGGACGACTAGTTGACAAAATGTCAAGTTGTGTTGTCCCTTACTTGGGAAATAATACTGAGAGGAAGAGTGTAGCATACGCACCATCCAAAGAGGAGGGTCCAGTTGTAGCAGGTTCAGTTGGAGACTCTCGTCCGGCTCCTCTGAGCTCCTTCTCTCCAGCATCCACAGTCCTGCGCAGGGACAGAACACCCAGAGCCCCCACACTCTCCTGCTTGGGGGAACCAGACTTCTTTCCACCTAAAACAAACAGCAACACAAGCTTAAGCTTTTCAAGTTTCTTGTGTTTACCAAGGCTGCATATATTTGATAAAAACGGCAAAATAACTGTAAGATAGTGAAATATTATTTAATAACGTCCATTTTACTTTTTTTTTTTTTTGCATTTTGTGTTATGGCTATGTTGATTTAGTTTTTGCATTATTGCTTAGGGGTTTAGAGTCACGTTATCCTTCAAAAGTCAAACTTAAGTGCGGATTTAGTGTTTAAAGGTTCAGAGAAGCGCCTTGAAATGTGCATTTTTTAATTCGGTGTTTGATGTAATCTTAACTGAAAAATGAAGAGAGATGAGAGAGTAGCTTCTCACCTTTAGAAAAACAGCCAATAGTTTGCTGTTATCACAGCTGTGCC